GACAGGCCATCAAGTGATTCTGATACCGGATTTAGCTGCCAAGAACTTGAACATGGCTGTTATTATATGTTTAAAAATAAAAGAACAAGTAGAAAAAATGGATTATTTCACTGGATAATTGGGATCTTCTTCTAAAAAGAGAATCATATGAACATTCTCAAACTGAAAATACAATCTTTGAAATTAATACCCTATCAAATGAGTTTACCAACAAATGAGATGAAACAAAGGATTAAGTAAAAGACTTATTATAAAATACTCAAATGGAAGCACAGAGATAAAACAATGAAAAACTCCAGAAAACACAATTAGAGAAATATGTGGCTCAGTAAAAAAAAAAAACAAAAAAAACCCCATATGTTATTGAGTTTAGAAGAAAGAGGAGAGAAGGTAAGGCATAAATAACTTTTTAACACATAATAATGAGAGTATTTCCCAAACTGGACAAGGGCATCAACCCATATATTCAAGAAGTTCTGTGAACCTCAAAAAGGCAAGTGTGCTATAAAGTGAAAACACAGAGAAAATATTAAAAGCAGCCAAGGTTAAAAAGACACATGACCATCAGATAAGGGCAACAATAAGACTTAACTACTCAACAAAAATAATGGAAGCCAGGTGAAAATGAAGGTATCCATACAATGCTGAAAGAAAAAAAAAAAAAGCCAACCTATAATTTTACATTCACAAAAATGACATACAAAGGTTTTGGATAATTAAAAACAGAATTTGCTGACAGCAAATCTAGGCTATAATAATAGCAAAGAGATAAGGAATATGATCCCAGATGGAAACCAAATTGTAGGAAGGAGCTAAAAACAGGAAGGATAAATATTTGGGTTATATAAATTTTGACAGTAGAAATAGTAATATACTGTAGTGTTTTAAATATATGTAGAATTAAAATGCCTGACAACAGTACACAGAGGAGATTACACCAAATTAAAGTATAATGTCCCATTGTTTTCAGGAAAGTTGTAACAGGAATAATTTGTTAGACTCTAAAAACCTATAAATTAAGGATGCATATTGTAGTCTCTAGGGAAACCACTGAAAGAATGTATAAGTTTAAGATAAAGGGAAAATATAAAATATTTGATTAATCCTAAAGAAAGCAAGAATAGGAAACAATATAAAGCAAACATACATATACAATACATTTCTGTATACAGCATAGAAAATAAACAAATCCAAATGCTGGTTCTGGAAAGAAATTGATAAACTCCAGTACGATTTCTCAAGAAGTCAGAGTTGGTTTGACATTTAAAAAGCCTTTAATGTAATTCACCACATTATTAGATTAAAGAAGTAAAGCCATCATGTAATCATTTCAGTAGGTTCACAAGAAGAATATTATAATAATTTTTAAAACTACTTTTGGCAAAGTAGGAATAAATCCTGACAATATACAAAAAAGAAATCTTACAATCAATTTTAATTCACGTCATTCTTAATTTAGAGAATTTAAAAGCATATCCTTTATAATCAGGAAGAAAACAGTATCTCCTATGGTCATTTCTATTCATTATTGAACTGGTGAATCTTTTTAGTGTGGTTATAACCCCCTAAATCATAATAAAGGTTTTAGGATTGAATGAAAGAAATTAAAATGTCATTATTTGTTTGAATAATAGAAAACCAAAAGAAACTACAAATATTATTACAATAAGAAAGTTTAGCAAAGTTGAAGGATGTTTAATATGTACAATTCATTTGTATGTTTAAATTCATTCATTTGTATGTTTAAATTCCTTTTACAATTGAAAGAATAAATATTAAATTGGAGTACATCTGATAAAGTACGTGAAGACTGTAGGAAAGAAAAGTAAATACCCAATCATAGAAGTAAAAAGTTGGTTAACTTAAACAGTAAACAGAACAATGCAAATTCTAACCATGAGATACTGTTTGGGTGCTGAGACTGGCAAAAATAGAAAGTCTGACTATATCCATGGTGGCATAGATCTGAAGGATGAGAACTAAGATCTGCTCTGTTGGAATGTAAATTAGTTAAACTACATTGTAATACAACATATCATCTAGTGAAGTTGAATATGTGCATTCAGTGTGTTTGTATAACCTTGCAATTCTATGTCCAGTAGTATACTCTAGAGAAATCCTAAAACCCATGCACCAGGAAGCAAATATAATGATACACTAGCAGTTTTCATAATAGTAAAAAACTATAAATAATGTAGATATTTACAAACAGGAGAATGATGAATTGCATGCATATATTCTGAGTAATAAAGCAGGAAAATAAACAACATTACTGTCTACACACATTTTGAAGCATAAAAATTTAAGTAATAAATTATATAGGACTACATATACTTATGTGGAAAAATGATAAAGAAAATCAAGGAAATGATAAATTCAGGATAGCAGTTACCCCTGGAAGAACGAGACAAACGTGATTAAGGAGGTACCTTGTGTTCGTTTAGACAGAGGTGTAGCTGCATTTGACAGAAACCCCAAATAGTGACATAAACAAGAACTAAGTTTATTTCTTTTTCTTATAACACATTGGAAATATCCTAGGCATCATAAATGTGCTGTACATGGTTATCTAGGAGCAAGGTTACTCCTACCTTTTGGTTTGATTTTTTTAGCATTATCCTCATTCACATGGTTATGGTGACTCACTGCCACAGCTGTTTCAAGTAGCAAGGTGGAAGAATCGAATACATGACCTTCTTAAGGTCACTTCCTGGAGGCTGCAAACATAACATGACTTCTCTTCATGGTCTCCTGGCTGGAATTCAGTAATTTTTGGATGCAAGGAAGCGTGAGAAATGCCCACCTGAAATTCAGGAGTTCTAGAAGGGAAAAGGAAAGAACAGATACTGGGAGGAAAGTAGTAATGTCTGGCACAGGTTCATGCCGGTAGGGTAGGAGGAGAAGGCATCAAAAGGATTGGTATTGTTCTGTTGGATGGTGAGTATAGATAGGTGTGGGTATTTTATGTCTCCCTATGAATTATGTATTCTTTTGTATGTATGAAATGTTTCATTATGAAAGTTAAATTTAGTGGATACTTTTCATACTTTTTTTGCTAGAATCCCGTGCATCATATAGTATTGTTGATCATGCCCTCTAGACATTTGAGTTTGTATTGGCAAGAATCTCCTGGTTTTTCTCTTATGTCTCCATCCATTCCTGGGCTTCATTTTCTCTACAGGGAAAAAAAAAAATCCCTTTTCCTAGATGGCCCTCACTTGTCTCCATAATTACTTAGGATAGTTTCACATTGGCAAATGGGCTTCCTGGATTTGGAAAAATTGTATGAGAAAACTAATTATATGGTAAATATTCAGATTTCATCACTTTTTATTCATATTGCTCAGCCATATATGGGACACCAGAGGTTAGAATATTTTTTCTTTGTAATTTTCCATAAATGTTCCTTAAAGCTTTCTGAACTACATCTCATAAAAGAATAAGTAATTCTAGAGTGACTCAGAAGTACTAGTATGTCTTTTAAAGGTAAGCAGCAGCAGCAACTGTTCCCATAAATATATACATATATAGCATCATTAGAATAAATCTTGGAAATGAGTCACATTCTTATAATCGTGTATCCATATTACATCTTTTTATTAAATCTCATCAATTTACTTGGCCACCCAAAATAATGACTACATTTCCTAGCCTTCCCTGCACCTAGATACAACTATCTGAACTAAGTCTTGGCCAATGGAATGGAAGCAGAAAGTCATATACTACAAATTTACATCATTACAAATTTAGCATATATTAACAGGGACTGTTTTTTTCCTGAATGAAAAAAATCTCAAGCATGTAGGCATTTCAAAAGTTTTATTCACATAATTTTTTTAAAGCAATTAAGGTAAAATTCAGTTAATCCGGAGTCACATTTCAACCATATGTCAATGACTGTGCCAGGTTCTGGGAATGCAGGAATGAAAAATTAGTGTGCCAACTTTCAAGGAGCCAGTACTACAGAGGAAATCTAGTTGAATGCTGTGGCAGACATAGATAAACTCAAGGTACTCTGGAAAAAGGGAAAATGCTGAAGTTAGCCCGGAAACTCAAACTTAAGAAAGTTGCCAAACCTAATTTACGTTTATAAAATGAAAATATTTAAAAATAGCATCTAAAGATCTTAGTTGTTATCTACATTCTAAATATCAGTTACATTAAAACCAAAATGAGCCCTTAATGTTATTGTAGGAGGTTGAGGTAAGAGTGAGGGAAGGAGTACAAGTGAACTCTATTAATGTTTAAAATGTTTTCTGTATTTTATAGATTTTTCTATTGAATGTATACTAATTTTATAACCACAAAAATAATTTAAAAATCCAGCATCTAAACAGAATATATATTTCTTAATGTAGTAACAAAACATAATTTAGCAACATGGTTTTAGGATTCCTGGATCAAATCAAACTTTATCTTAAGAAACTCAAACTCATGTAACATATTGTACATGAGTTTTAATGTTTTATTTAATGTACATATTTTTAATGTTTTACTTTCAATTAAACATGTACTAAAATACTCATGTACTTCACTGTTATTCCAGTGTAGATTTTATTTGGCTTTTGGGATTTAAGGCAGAGACTTCAGTTTTAGGCATTGCTTGTGACAGGTTGCAATGAGGAAAATGGTATACAATTCTTAATCTTAACATAGTAGCTGCTCACTATCACTTACAGTTCTTACTAATCTGGAATGTAACCATTTTCTTTTGACCCCAAGTTCCTCAAACTCATTTCTCTTTGTTGTAATTTGGTAGGATGGGAGAAAGACCTGTTTTCATAGACATTGCTGTTTATTTTGAAAAACTGAAAAGGGGTTAGTAAAATCATAACATTCATGGCCTTCAATCACTTTCTCATTTTAAAGCTCTTTCTCCAAGATGACTTATGAAACCAGGAGTCCTTTCTGGTGTCATTCAGATGTACTATAGCTGTTACAGTCTCTCTGATTCCATTTTCAAGCAAAAGTGAAGTCTTTAATTTTTTTTTCTCTTGCAGACTTTACCTTCAAAAGAAACGTTTTTAAATACTACAGAAACGCCTTGCCTACAATCAGCTTCAATTTGGACTGACTGTGAACACAATTCAAAGTCTCAAATGTTAAGAGAACATGTATCAGAGTTAGATTCTTCTTTCCATTCTGTTCTATCATTGCCATCAGGTAAGCCTCTCTATAAAAATTTTTAAAATAACTGAATATTTCTGTAGTGAAATCTAATCCTATAAATACAAAGAATCTAATCTATTTTATCAATTATTTTGTTACTGGATATCAGAACTCAAGTTTTCATAGAAGAATTAATCCTGTCATGTACTAATGTTTAATCTTTCCAAATTGATTCTTTAATTCTTTGGAAAACATTTTTATTTACTTTGGGAAACAGCTAACTTTTTATCTCCTTTTTCAGTGTTCAGTTTTTAGCATTTTATTGACAGCATGGTTCTGCTATTTAAATGTTTGTTTTTCAGTGATTCAGTGTTCTTTTTCTAATGTTTTCCCTGCCATATAATATTCCTCCATTTAAAATGGTGTTGCATTTTTCTGAAAGAAAATTGTCCATCTTTAGGTATAGCCAACCTTTGAACCTTAAGTGATCTGTAATCCACAACTGAGTAAATGAAGTATACATATATAGCCCACATCCCTAAAGTAGCTTTAAGTTTCCAGTTCTTGATTTCTGTTAGAACCTTTCTACTCTTACCTATATTGTAACTGAATAATTACTTACGGTAAAAAACATAGGAAAAAAACAAAGAAACATTCTTCACACTGGAAATCTCCGGTTCTTCTATTTTTGGGAAGGTCTCGATGGGCTTTTGTTTCCTTTTCAGCTTTTGGTTCACATCATCCAGAGATATTCTTTGTGAAGCATTAGTTTTTGTACCTATTCCTGCCCTGAATCTTATGTTGTTTTTGCCAGTATTAGAGTGGGTTTTTAGCTATACCATGCTTTGGAGTAAGTTCCTGACAGGAACTATTTTATTCCATCTTTGCAGAAGCCTTAATAATAGAAGGAAATAATAATACACACAATAATGCCACTAAAAATTTGTCTTAGCACACACTGGGCCCTATAAACACATGATATTTTCTTGTTTAATTCTTGGAATAACCCCATGAGAATAGATACTGCTATCCTCTTTATCTTACATATGAGAAAATTGAAGCTTAGAGATGTTAAATTACTCATCCAAGATTATATAGCTAATAAATGATGGAGGATTTCACATGAGGTAGTCATTCTCCAAAGCCACACTCCTAACCTTTATTCTTACTGCCTGTTTTCTTATTAGTAAATTTGTGTCTCTGATGATATAACTCTGAGAGCTAATACAAATATATTTCATTTCAATCCTCTTATATCCTCACTAATAAGTTAAGATTTAGCTGCCTCACTTCCTAATTAGGTTTTTCCACTTCTTCTTGCATTAATGTAATAAAAATCTGAATCTCTACTGTATACTTGGGTCTAAGTAGATGCAAGGAGTAGAAATACAAATGAATCCCTCAAGTTACTTGCATTTAGCTTAAAACAGCTGAAATATAAACTAAGTGTAATAAAGTGTTAGGAAATATTTTAATAAAAGACCACAGGTCATGGTGTGGGTGCTAAGAAAGGTATATGGGCAGAACAAGAACCTTCCATACTTACATCATGTTTTCTCACAAACAGGCAGTATAGGTGACACTCTTTTTATAAAAGCAAGGGATATTTCCTTGGAGAAACAAACTTAATGTTTTGATAATTGGAAAATGTCAGAATCCTGAAGCATGTAAGCAGTATATTTATATTCTTATTTTCATTTTGTAATATTTTTCACATGATTATAGTGCTAGGATTGAAATCCATCTACCTCTGTCCTTGGGACAATGACGATATTCATGAATCCATTTTTTCCCCCCCACACTTGAGTATGAACCTGCCATTAAAATACATCTCCTTTGTGTAAAATCCAGACCCTTCCAGAGTCTACCCTGTTTTCGTAAAAATAAATTCTTTCAGTAGCTAACCTTTCAATATACCAACGGCTTTATAAAATATTTCTTAGGAAAAAGTTTAGGTGACTCTATTAATAGCTGCTTTTTAAGATGATTTTGTTTTTGCATTCTTGATAGAAGAAAAAGCCCTTTAATAAATGTGACACACATCTACTTCATTACTTATCTCCTCTTTTGGTTATGAAAGTATAGTATATGAACATAATGATTTGAACATCTAAGTCTATTTAAAGGAGAGCTAGTTTGAGAATAGTTTTAATCTTTGTTAAAGTGGATTCATTTTGTGACTCATAATATATTAGCATTTTTTTTTATTTAGTACATACAATCAGAAATTTCTCAAATATTATTACTGATGTGCTTGGAAAGAATATTTTGCCACTTTAGATAGTTGTGACTTTGCAAGCTTTTGCTTATTCTAAGCTTATTTATGAAAAAGCAGTCTTGATATTAGCATTTGTAAAGAGTGGTGTTCATTGAAAATAATTTTATTCTTCCAGATATGCCTCTTCATTTTCACTTGGAAACATTGTTAAGAACAAGTGAAATAAAAGGAGATCTTACTGAAAATAAATGTGTAGGAGATTGTATCATATCTCGACCACCTGGTATGTCATTTACAAATCTCATACTCATATGTTTTACATCTTTCATATACTTATTTTTGCCTTCCAAGGAAATAAAATTTAACAAGGGAATAAATTTAAATCTGTACTTTTTAGTGTTTACTTTTCACAAATCACACACACACACAGAAAATACACAGGTGAAACCCTAATAAGAAATGTATAATATTTATTGAATGAAAATGATACAATTGATATTGATAAATAAAAAGTATTTAAGTAAATGTAGATAAACAGCATTCCTGGATGGTAAGATTAATAAGGATATCAACTTTTCCTCTTGGTTTATATGTTTAATGCAATGTAACTTAAAGTTGTCATAGAATTTGGTTAACTTGACAAAATAATTATAAAGCCTATTAGGAAGAACAGGAAAATATAAAAAGAATTGCTGGTTAAAATATGAGAGAACCTAGCCCACATCATAGGGAAACATGACAAAAACCTGTAATAGCATAGATTCCATTTTGCTTAAATTTAGGAAAGTAAATCCATGAAGCATTCTACAAAGCTTATACTTCACTATGTAAAGGAAGAATTGTAAATCAACAAGAAAGTGGGTAACTATTCAGTGAACAATATTGTTAGTCTTTTTGGGAAAACTTGTTTACATACTCATTTCATACCATGTATCAGAATAAATTCTAGTTGGCTCCAAAAATTGTACATAAAACACTAAAATTATAAAATAAAACTTGAAGAATTATAATAAAATGTTTTAGTACTATAATAAAATGTTGGGACATCATCTCTGCTTGGAAGCAATCAAAAGAAGAAAAATACCAACATATTTTGACTATTTGCAAAGCTAAAATCTCTACGCCAGAGAAAACTCATATAAACTAAGATAAATTATTCCCAGATATAAATATAAAATAATCATTTATCTCAAAAATTCAAGAATCAACTGAATGGCTGTTTAGAGTCCTGAAAGGTAGAAGATTTTAAAATAAATTTATC